CATATACTTAGGGCCCTACCAAATTCACAATCCATTCTGGTCAATTTCACAGCCATGGGTGTTAGAAATTAGCCAATTTCATGTTTTCAGATGGGGGTTGCAAAGCTGTTGGGTGTGGGATTGCCACCCTCACTTCTGAGCTGCTGTCAGAGCTAAGCTCTGAAGGCAGCAGTGTTGAAACCTCCTTCAGCTGCAAGAGATTCCAGGAGGTGGATATGGGTCTGATCTCCCCTGTGCTGCTGGGAGTGCCCCAGCTGGAGGCTCCTAGCTACTAGTCCCAGCTGAGCTGGGGAGGGACAGGACTTGCTCTTCACCTGCACTGCCGTTCTCTGGGGGAGATCAGACCCACCTCTAGGTACCTCCCCCAACTGCAGGGTGCTCCCAGCTGCACAGGGAAGATCAGACCCACCTCCACCTCCGGCAACCTCCTGCTGCTGCAGAAAGATCCAGAGCTGCTGTTTAGTCCCAAATCTTCCTGCGGGTGGGGTAGATTCAGGAAGGTGGCTCTGATGTGCCTGTGAGCATGGCTGTGCAGGGGAAGAGTAAGTCCTGTGCTGCCCCAGCCTGGCAGACTAGCAGCTGGAGACAGGGACATAATCGTACCCCTCTCCTCCCTTCGGGTAGCTAGATTTCACAGGGGAGGTCTGATTTCATGGTCCATAACACATTTTTCATGGCATAGAATTTGGTAGGGCCCTATGTATACTCCAGGCTGATTAAGTGAGGTGGTAGGTGCTTGACTGGCAGAAGCCAGAGTGCATAGGTTACAGGATTGTTCTTTGCTCTTGTTTGCAATAACTGACCCCTTGTCTGCTTGAGTGACAATATTAGGGGTAGAAGAGTGGCAAGAAAACTTTGTTGTGATTTCAGTCCACTCATTATTGGTATTCTATAGCAGATCTCTTGGAGTGATGCAGGGTCTTGGTCACTCAACTCTACTACTAACTTCCCAGCATCTATCAGGACCAGCTCTAGCAGGGAGGAAGGTAGAGGCTTTTGAGGCGGACAGGTTTAAGGCCGCCTGTAAGACAGCAGCAGGTTTCTTGGGGTGAGGGGCTCATGCCCATTCTGTGCTACGCTCTCTGCAAGGTGGGACCCCTTCCAGCACGCTGCAGGCATAGATGTGCAGGAGGAAAGGCTAGGCCATGGTTTTAGAAATGACATGGTTGCAGCTGCAGAGGGGAAAGAGGTCGTGTGACAGATACACCTTCATGGGCCTTTTAGAAACCCCTCCCTCCAGACACGTGGATAGGTTTTCCTAATCAGCCCTTGCCCAGACCCTTTTCCTTCCTACACCTGCGTCGCACCTCGCACCTTTCCCCTCAGATCCCTCCCCTTCATCAATATTCATAAGCTGGGCCCCACCGCCCCTATATACATATTCATAACCCTGCCCCTCCTGCTACTGGGGAAGGCGCCCCCCGTGCTGGCTCCTCCCCGCCGCCAGGGGGCGCTGTGAGAACCGGAAGCGCTCGCGCCGCTAGCGGCGGCTAAGGGCGAGCCGGGCCCC